TTTTTTGCACCGCGGTTGGGAATTAACACAAAACGATACGCACATTTGCCATTTGGAGATTGTGGAATCGCAGACCCGTGAATCTACGATACCACCAACATTCCAGAGAAGGCGCATCTCAATGTTCTGTGACTATGGATGTTTTTTAATTATACCCCAAAAAATCCCCCAAAACATTATCCCCCAAAAATTCTCCAAGGCAGCTAAAAATCCCAGTACCCCAATACGGAAACCCTGAGCGCAGCCGGGGGGAATGCAGAGTGGGGGAACAGTAGCGCGTAGAGGTGTTGCCGGGTTTCGCCTCGCACCTTCCAATGTGGCTTGCGATCTTTTGGAATGTTATTTCTGGATTAAAGGAAGTAGCCACGTAGACAGAAACCTAAATGCCAGGACACCGTGGTTGCTATGAGAATCCCAAAGAAACTTTGTTAATCCGATTTTTGAACTGCCTTACATTAGTAGAACTGGGAAAAGCCTCCTCTTGTATATTGTTCTACAATATAGACACCCTATGGACAAAGGAGCGGTCGTATCGGTCAGCTCTAGGTGTACGAAGTTCGACACGGTTAGGATGCGGGACCGAAATCAGTTTCAGTATAAAAGCAGATTTTTTTATTTTTTACGTGCGGGGTAACGGTAAACTTAAGAGCCCCAGAGAAATGATGATGTTTGCATTTTCCCCGCACGCACTAGTATCTATTATGAACTTCAAAACAAGAATGGTTGCGGTCCAAGCACTATTTTCACACACAAAAATCAAAGAGAAAGTATATTTTCATTACATTTCATCACATAAATTCGGCGCTGTTGCCTGATTGAAAATCGAAGCGGTTTAGGCATTGGTTTGGGTTTTGATTTAAGATTAGGTGTAGACTTTGTTTGTGGCCTTAGGTTAGGTTCTGATTTAGGATTTAGGTTTTGGTATAGGCTTTGGTTCGTATCATGCCAATACCTAATGTAACCAATAATGTTTAAAATGGTACCGACGTAGCATGGCAGGAAAATGGCAATGTGTGGCAACACCGCTCTGGTGAAGAATGTCAAAGATGCTTACAGACGCTTATATGCTTCGGTTCTGTGATGTAGTTTCGACAAGTTTCTGTTCCGTGTTCATACCAGTGTTAAATAAATGATCTGTGGCTATGGGTACCATTATGAAATTTTTATTTTTCCGAAAAAATGCTTCTGCGCCAACAATATGTGTTTTAAATTACATAATAGACATTTCTACATTTGAAAAAAAAATACGAGCAGCACCATTTTTCTGGCGCTCCCAAGTTTACCGGCACCCAGCTATTTTTTTCGGTGATATCTAAGTTTCATAGCTAACACAACATTGAAAAATGCAAAACATTTGAGATAACCCAGAATTTAAAATGAATACCAAAAATGATCAACTTTGAGACTTATATGCCTTTATTTTAAATCTAAGAGCTCTTATGAAGGATCCTGACCTTCAAGTTCAATCATTTTAACAGCACGAGGCTTTAACTTCAGCACGCCCCAAAAATATATTGTATCAAATTAAGTAAATCGCTTTAATTCTTTTATTAGATAAATATAGTCACAACGATGTAACAGCATATTAAGTTCAACAAGGGATTTGCTTTTATTCAAGAATCTGGTCAGATCATACAAAACATAGCTATTTAACCTTCCAACATCACGAATTAAGCTGGAATTGCTCATAAGCTTGCGTTATATCCTTTCCAAAGAAAAGAATGCATGCCGATGTATTGGTGGGCGTTGGTAATCAAATCTATCCAAAAGTGTGCACTAATCTACGTAGTTTGGGCGGCAAACATTGTCTCCTTCTATCTGATTCGAACTCGTTGAATTTAGCTGAATCAACTCGTAAAGGATCAAAACCCGAATAGAATTATCAAAAAAATTATTATGATTATTTAATAGTCGTCATAGGCAGCTGTCATTTGTTGGTTTTTCGTGAAAAATAATATGATATTAAGTATACACCAAAAAAAAAAAAGTACCAGTCACCGAGTTTTGTCATTAACTGCAACTTTTAAATTTTTTTCTGCGATGTCTACTTTAAGTGTTTCAAATTCCAATAGTGTAGTAAAATAGTCTTATTTGCGTCTGATATTCCGATATTGGGTATCACTCTAATTTAAGTAAGATGGGTTGAACTGATTTTATTCTATTTAGAATGATGTTGCAACATTAAAAATGTTCATGGTTGTGATATACCGTATATATTCGACATGCTATTTAATGTATATTGGAATACTGGAATACAGCGTGTTCTTGAAATCATCAAGTATGAAAAGGATGAAATACCCCGTTCATTTTAAACTTCAGTATTTACCATGTCTTGTCTCGGCAGTCCATGGGACCCGTGTTCTGCTTACAGTGATAGGTTACAATAGGGACACGCTGTATACGTATAGTGCCAGAAATCGAATACGACCTAGTTTCAAGATAGCTCTCATATAACAAGTACGTTTTTAAAAAATAATTGGTGATTCAAATTGAGTTTCCACATTACAAATAATTTTTTTTTGAAACGCCACTGAATTTGTCAACGACAACATGCCATTTCTAACGTCAAAATATAAACAATACAGTCATGAAGCAATATGCGACCGAACAACGTGTTAAAATTATCCAAGCCTATAATGAAGACGGCCGATCAAGGAAGAATACATTTCGTGCTTTACGTGAATTTTTTGGCGCACAAAATCGGCCTTGTGAGAGGACAGTTTGGAATTTGGAGCAAAAATTCGAGCAAACTGAATCAGTTGCTAACACCAAAACCCCTAGGCGTGCTCGTAGAAGTCGGTCGGAACAAAATATTGCTATTGTTGTCGAAAGTGTGGCCGAAAATCCAAGAACCTCGATTCGTCATCGATCGCAGCAACTGGACCTTACTTATTCCACTATACAGCGGATTTTAACAAAAGATTTGAAGTTACACCCTTACAGAGTCCAAATAACACAGGAATTGAAGCCAAGGTCACACATCAGGATAAACGATACAATTACTGCGCGGCAAGTTTCCAGGTCGCGTTATTTCACGTAACGGCGATATCAATTGGCCGCCGCGATCCTGTGATTTAACTCCCTTAGATTATTTTCTTTGGGGTTTTTCAAGAGCAAAGTCTACAAGAATAACCCCAACACAATTGCGGAGCTGGAACAGAAGATCTGACGCGAAATTACCAACATAGGACCTGATTTGTGCCACGGAGTAGTCGAAAATATCTCGAAACGGATTACGTCGTGCCACATGAGCCGCGGCGATCATTTACTTGATATCATCTTTCAAGCATAATTGTAATGTACTGCCCTGAAAGGACAAATACTTACTTTTTTATAATTTTCAAATTCTTTTTTTTTAATACTTTTAATGTGGAAACCCAATTTGAATCACCCTATACAATAAGCCCGACAGCAGTTAGGTCACACAAAATGTCAAAATCAAGCCGAAGTCCGTGGAAAGAAATGTCAAAGTTGAAATGATTGATAAAAATCCGCCATTCTGATTTTATGAAGCTTTAGTATACTCAGTGTCACCCGCACTGTCAAGGGAAATCTACGTTTAAAATAATTGTTGTTGAAATCCGCCAACAGCACCTAATATCTCAACATCCATCAAGCCGTTTGGACTATAGGTCATGGAATAGAAATTTTTGTCCACATATAAATTCCCACGCGTGGAAAACATAACCCTCTTTCTGAGGTAGTCAGGTGGTGATACAAAAAATCCCAAGGCGGACCAAAATATACACTGAATGTCAAAATCCTTTAAGCCGTTTGAGCCCATCAAATAGAAATTTCAAAGTTGAGGCTTGCGTTTAAAATCTGCCGTTTTGGTTTTATAAAATTTTAGTAGACTCGCATTGTCAAGACAAATCTAGAGATATATTAAAATCAATCAAATTGTTTAAGCTGTGGCCCGTGAGATAGAAAGTTGAAATTTTCGATTAAAATCCATCATTTTGATTTTGTAAAACTGCAATGTGCCCAGAGTCACTTGTGCTGCTAAGATAAATCTAACTATGCCTCAAGTGTTAAAATCTATCAAGCCGTTTCTACTGTACAATAGAATTATTCTTGTCCACATACAAACAAACGTTGCAAAAACCAACCATAACTCAATCTTATCGGCCATATTAACGATAATAATTACAAAAAAATAAACAAGTAGACCACACTTTTTGAAAGCCTCTTGTCATTATGTTGATTTCAAACTAAAATAATCAATGTAAAAAGTTTCATGGAGTAGGTGTAGGAGTAATGAGTACATTTTTCTTATGAAATAGTGTACGTTCGTTGCACTAATCTGGAGCTCTTATGAGTACGCTTTAAAGTGGGAGCATACCTTGAACATGGTGATATTCGGTTAAAACACATTGTATACGTATATCATTTAAAGGAATCATAAGGATGATGTACGTGTACGGATACTTTCTGTGATTATTATTTGAGAAAATAAAATCTTTTTTGGCAATCTTATTAGTTTTAACCTTCCCTATAGACGCTAATAAAAGGTGTATCAATAAGAACGCAATATTCGAATTACGCGCCATTTTGGCAGTCATAATCTCATAACGATTGGGACATGACAGATCGATAGTAGATAGGCGGGAGTTGATGAAAATGAATCATTACTCAAAAGAACAGCGAATCCTCATTGTTAAAAATCATTACCAAAGTGGTCAATGTCTAGTTGCCACGATTCGAAAAGTGCAGCTGATATTGAGAGGTATGAATAAAAACGAAGTAGATGCTTATACTACAATTTTAAGAATCTACTTCAAAGTAAATACTTCGCCATGAAGTATCCAATCAGTTCCGGTAGTATTTGCTTTACGTCGAAGTACTTACTATCGTGCCTGTAGTATCTACTTTTATTCCGAAGTAAATGCTTTAAATTGAGTAGCATCTTCTCATTTCCACAAGTTTCGACAGGTCACACTTGTTGTTTTATTTTATTTGAAATATTCACATACTTGGTATTGTACGGCACGCGCGTTAAAATGTCTTCTGACGAGGAAATGCCGAATCAAGAAGAGTCCCAAAATGAAGATTTGCAGTTAGCCTTTGTTACGATGTTAGAAGACTACAAAATTATTCTGGATAAAAAAATGACACCTCCCGTTAAGTCTGCCAAAGACAAAGCACTTAAAGAATTCACAGAGACGTATAACAGAAATACAAAACAAAATTTAGATGCAAAACAGGTATTAAAAAAAGTTAATAATATGAAAAGTAAAATTAAAAATATTACCGATATGAAGAAAACAGGAAATAGGAAAATTAAGTTAAATGAGTGGCAAAAAATTTTTCAACCTATGGAATGGGAGTGAGAATCCAGTAATTCAACAAGTGCCAGGTACTGTATTATTTGATATTATATATTTTTTCTTCAAACGTCAGTAAATCATTTATTGCTTGACTTGTATGCGGCCACGAAGTTTTATTTTTCATCAGCCGGAGCTTCACTTTTTACTTTTCCGCGATTAATTTCTTGACATTTGAAGAAAAACAGCATATTCTACTTGGAGGAAAAGTTAATTTTCATGGCTGTCTAATTCAGGCTCGTCATAAAATCACTTTTCCTCCATATAAAATCATAATACTATTGTGGTGCAAAATTTTTAATTTAATAATGTTTTAGGAGGTTAACTGCGGGCACCAGTCAAGACGTTGATATATCATTGACCGATGAAGAGAATCAAATACCTTTTTGTGATGATAAAGAATTAATGGCTAAATTACGTAAGAAATTACTACTTCAACAAATCAACACTGCCGCAGCTCAAAAAAAAGCTGCTATAGCTCAAGAAAAGGCCGCTCTAGCTGTCGAAAGGGCCGCAGGAGCTGTAGAGCAATTCGTAGAAGATTACTTTGCACGACAACAGGCGAGCTTTTGAATTCATTTGGATTCAAAAATACCTACTGATTAATATGTTTTTTTTTGTTAAAAGAGTAATAAGGTTTATGTTTATTATTTGTATAACATGTTTATTAGGTTTAATTATTTTGTCAGAACCTTCATAAAATAAATATGTATAAAATCCAAACAATCCAAATATTTATTTACTTTTTCAACGCTGTCTGTACATTAGTGTTGCAATTTCATTTCTAAACTGGATACCTCGGCGTCGCACTTCACCGTTGTTTGGTTCGGCATATAATTCAGGCATAATTGCTTCTTCTTCTATGTTCATTTCATCAAAATGTTCATCTGGATCGTTCAAAAACTTTGCACAATTATGTAAAATAAATGCACACATAATATATCGACATGTTCTATCTGTTTTAAGTCGGATTGTATAATTCAACATAGGAAATCTTGTTTTTAACTGGCCAAAGCATCTTTCTATAATCACACGTTCTCTTGCATGTATTCTGTTAAAATACTTTTGAATGTTTGTTATACCATATCCAGAATCACCCAAAAGACAAACTCTTTTTTGATTATTATACATAATAGGGTAAATAGGACTATTGTACCATATTCTAGAATCATGAACAGACCCAGGCCAGGAAGCATCAACACTGGTAAACATTTCTCTGCTATTACATGTTGCTTGTACATTTATTGTAGAAACTCCTTTTCTGTTAATATATTCATCGCCATGTACATATGGTTTTATAATTTTCACGTGAGTGCAGTCAATGGCGCCAATGACATGAGGTATTGTATTATGTGCTGCCCATTCATCTTTAGCTCTGTTGAACATAGCTCCCGTAGCAGGGAATTTAACCCACTGATTTTTCTTGCTACAGATTTCACGTGATACCTTATCAATAATTTTTGAAACGGTTGTTTGATGAATCCCAACATCAAGTCCAACGCCTAGCTGAAATCCAGGGTCTCCTGAAATAAAGATATAAAAATTAAATTATTTATCCTATTTCATTTATTGAAACATACCTAAGCTTCTTAAAAATACTTCCATTTGTTGGATGTGTGTAAGAGCACCTCCTCGAGTTTCATTTACTTCTGGGAGAAATATATTCGCTAGGTAAGATACGTTTTCTCTACTAAACCTAAAAGAATAAACAATTTTAAAAGTAATTAAAAACAATAATAATATTATTGTTAAATTACCGAAATATTTTATGATATAAAATATCATTATGATAGCGGCGTCTTGCATTATATATTTTTCTGCTGCGTATTCCTTCCATTTTCAAAGAAAACTAAACAAAACTAACCGTCTCTGAAGTTGCACTTATACCAACTTCGCAAAAGTCAAGCATATACTAAATTCCTCTTCAAATTAGTAGCATCTACTACAAGAAGTAGGTACTTTCAGTAAATACTACTTGATATAGTAAGTTCCGGTAAAACAAAAAGTATCTACTTGAAAATGTAGCTTCTTCTCAGATTTGAAGTACATACTTTGTAGAAAATGCTAATACTTGTAGTATTAGAAGGTACTTCATTTTTATTCATACCACCCATTATGTCGTGATAACTTCAAGTACCGCTAGTTCAGTTAATGATTTGAAATATACGAGACAAGCTCGCAGCGGTCGTTCAGAAGAAAATGTCGGAGCAGTTCGCGAGAGTGTAGGGACGTCGATTCGTCATCGCGCTCAAGAAATGAACATTAAAACAGCCACTCTCCAGCGTATTCTAGCGAAAGATGTACACCTACATGCCTACAAAGTCCAAATGACTCAAAAAAAAGCTTATGCCAGCTGACCATGCGCAGCGAAGAGAGCTCAGCATCGGATCCTTAGCCTACAGGATGTGAATGCTGATTTTGCGGACAAAATCATTTTTAGCGATGAAGCCCATTTTCTCTCTCATCTCGATGGCTTCGTCAATAGCCGCATTTGGGGCACATAGTATCCAAGAGTAATTCATGAGAAAGCTTTGCATCCAAAACGTGACACTATTTGGTGTGCACTATGGTCAGGAGGAATTATTGGACCGTTTCTTCAAGAATCCTCAGATTGCAGCAATGGAGCGGGGGCCTCATTTCTTTGGAGCTCTGGTGTAAAACTGTTGGTCAACTGTTTGATAACTGGTTATAATAACTCTTGATATATGTAGAGATGCAATATTTATAAATAACCCCGTGGTGCACGGCATGTGCAACCGACAGACGATCCGTCTGCTTAAGATATTTTTCCAAGCTTTAAGAGCAAATGGACGGGCATATCTGTGAGGTGTGATTTACGTCTAATATAATAGTAATACGAGCCCCTCTCCACTTCAGTTGGCACACTTCAAAATTTGTACCAAAATATGCCTTTATAAACTAAATATGACGAAACTATTTACTTCTAAAACAATTTGTTTTCTCAAAAACATTTTAGATACACTCTAGTCGTAAAAAATACATATTTGAAATCACTTAGACCTATAACATATAACATCTGAACTAATAAACAATGTACGAATAAATACGCGAAGTTAAAAAACAACAACTGAAAGATTACCATTGGGTAACATGACCTCTATTTTTTATTACGGCTGAAATTCTTTGGGGCATAGTGTTAACCAAGTTTTAGCAAAAATTTGGTGTAAAACAGTCCCATATTTCTTGAAGCTTTTTTCTCAGTTCGGTGATTGTACGAGCAGGATGTTGTCGTAGAACCTTTTTCATCTCGTGCCACAAAGTTTCAATAGATGACAGATCTGGACTGCTAGAACCCATTTCAAAAGTGGTACATTATTCTCTTTCATCCATTTTATAGCCTTTTTTGAGGTATGGCACGCTGCACCATCTTGCTGAAACACAAAATCTTGACCGGATCTCAAACATTCTTCCATCACTGGTAAAGCGATTCTTCTAAAATTGCCACTTATTTGTTTGTATCCACATTTCCATCAATAAAATGAAGTTTTCCTACTCCTTTTGATGACATACTGCCCCAGACCATAATGGATGCTGGAAATTTCACTTTTCTCTTCAGACAGTCAACATGGAATGCTTCATTTTTTTTTTCGAATAACTCTACTGCGACTGTCACCAACACAAACTTCGAATCGGGCCTCATCACTCCATTGTATTGCACACTATTGTTGAGGTGTCCATTGTCTATGTTCTTTAGCTCATCTAAGCCGATTTTTCTTTTGCAGTGGAGTTAATAGTGGCTTTTCTTTGGCCTATAAACAAGTTGTGCAACTTTAGAGTTTTTACTTCACTTTTTGTTATAAGAAAACTTACCTTGCAAGTGCTAAATTCCAGTTTATGGGCCTCTTTATGAGTTGTGGAGATCGAAATTCTCCTTCCAACAGCTTCACTCCACAGAGCACTTAATTGTAAATAATTGGCACCCCTGTCTTTCACGATTATTCTTCTTAATGCTCTTCGGTCGGCATTTGTGATATTACTTTTTTTTCACATATCGTGGCTTAATATTAACTGAACCAGTTACGTTATATCTTCTAACAATATTTCTCACACTGTACCGCGATAAGTCTAACAAAGTTGCAATTTCTGAGTTCGATTTCCCAGAATTAAAAAATTTAATTATCAGTAACCGAATTTTCTCACTAATAACCTTTCGCCTACACATTTTGAAAACCTTAACTACCCAAAACTATTTTAAACGAATTCTGACAGCTGTGATTAATAAAAACAATTGTCATGGCTTTTATTTTTCCCAGTCACCTATGCGTTATAGAATTATTTTGCATTGAAATGAAAATAGGTTGATATGCTGTAATTGCAACATTGTTATTTTTATGGTGCAAATTTGATTAGGGAGTGATAAAGTTGGTGTTTTCTACTATATATTATTAAAATATTCATTGTTAATATTTTAAACCTATAACACCCTGCTACATTTTTATTACTTGTGTTTGATAAGAAAAAAACTAAGATTTCAATAGTTGGGCCAACTGAAGTGGGAAGGGGCTCGTGTAATCATGATAATAAAAACATGAACAAGATACCCTGAAATGTTGAAAAACAAAAAAACGATTTATGTTTCCTCACCACCACGGGATAGATTTTCAAAAACTACAAAGCTTTTCCGTCATGGCGTAGTCGTAACCTTATGTAAAAATTTCATCCAAAAGAAAAGTCACTTCTTTGCGTATGTCCAAATTGTTATGAGTTATTTGTGTGAGTGACTCAAAAAAGGTTGTAGGAGATGAAAATATACTCAAAAGTACTCAACAGTTTCTGCAAGTTTAAACAGCAATTTTTTGGAGAATCTGTCGAGCAACTTCGGATCAATCATATCAGGTACGTTCTGTTGCTAGGAACCATAAGCGGAATTAAGGGTGTCATGGGAGCCATTGCCCTCCCCAGGTTTCATTATTTCAATTTTCAATTACCGATTAGTTTAATTGTTAATATTGCACAGTCGTCAAATCTACTTTTGCCTAATAAGCAATCAGACTAAGTCCGCTGTATTCTGGCAGTCGTAATCAGGATGCTGGCAAAAATATACAATTTGACGAAAATAAACCCTTTGGTCCTTTGTGTGCCCAAACAACAGTTTTTCTCAAAAATCAAATAATTAGTCATCAAATTAAGGTTCGCAACTGGGGCAACATTTAATTTTATTAAACAGCCTATTCAAAAGTATATCATGTAATAATATGAGCATCCACTATCAGATATACTATGATAATTTTGATTTCGGGAATATATGATATTCACTCAAAGCTTTAATTTATTTTGCTTTTTGAATTGTCTGGGATGATATTTCCTGTCCATTCACAACCACCATCAACAAGTTTCAATTAGATATCGTATCAAATGACGCCAGTATAAATGGATTAAAGCATGGCTTATTTATTTATTTGCTCCATGAAGGAAGCGGTTTACTAGATTTGATATGCCACATTCATTAAAAATTATAAATTTCAGTTAATATGTGCATCAAATCGTTTTCAGTATTATATTGCATATAGCGAATAATCGATTTCCTAACCACGTCCGGAGCATGAAAAATATGGAATGTCCACAAATTTTTCCACAGCATTAAGAAATCTATGTGCGTCAACAGGCAAGACAGAAAGGAATACTATCCAATCTACGAGACGGTGCATGTTCTCTCTAAATCTAAATAATCTTATTAAATGGAGGTATCTCATCCGCTATTATAAGATCAGGATTTATAAGACTGGCATTCGGCCCATTGCGATGTATGGCTATGACGGAAGCCAATGGAGAACGACTTAGGCAACCGCAGGGAATTACGTAATATTTTTGGAACCCTGCGTCCCAAACACACTTGTACTCGTATATAGCATAAGAACGAACATCAAAATCAGACTGTTAGGATAGTTGGGATTGTCCAACAAATCAAAGCACAGTTGCTGAGGTGGGCTGGTCACGTTCAGATACTCATCGATTGATAAAATTGATCTGGGAAGAAGCCCAGCTGATCCCTCTAGGTCGCTCACGTATGAGATAGAGGTTTAACATAAAGTCAGACCTAGCAAAAATAAACTTTCGGCCAGCAGTGACGGAAGACCGCACCAGATGGAGGCAAATTGTGAAGTCCACCAAAACTCATCTACGGTTATTATTTTCTAGTATCGAAAAGGAAGAGAGCAGTAAAACACATCACATGCTTGGCTCAGCATCAAGGCATCAAAGAGATGCCACAGTAGCAGTGGCGTGCGATGTATTTTAATGCAATCTTCATTTTCGGTACCTGAGTATACCAACCCATAAAACTAGGGATCGACCAATACAGATATATAATGTATATCGCCATATTGGCCTATTACAACTTTGGCCGATACAAATCCGAAAGCTAATAATTATTAGAATAATTAAATTGATAAGAAAAACGATACATAAACATTTCACTATGTCAATTTTACCTTTTTCTGTTTTTTTTCAAAGGACATAAATTATTACACTAGCGATTTTGATAGTATTTCGTATGGAAATTTTGTTGACATACTCCCGCACAGCGCTATTATTCAAAAGTTTCAACATTTTCATGCAGTACTGAGATTACTTCAAAACAAAATCCAACTCAGGCTGGAGAAACACGTTCAATAAGACCGAAGTTGCTTGGAACATCTAAAAAGCCCAGGTTTGGCAAAACGCAACTTTACGAAACCGTGTTCCATAAAATGCTTTCTGGTGACTCTAGTTCCACGTTTCAAGGTACTTAATTTCGAATTTTAGAGGATTTTTCTTTAGATTTTGAAGATTTCCTCAGCCAATACAGGAAGAATGAAGGCAACGAGGATTGGAGCACACACATATCGACGCCAGTAACACCAAGTGGCGTATCTTATGAAATATGAAAATTGAGTTAAGTCGATTTTCTTACTTAAAAAAGGTTGCTCTTCAATATCGCGAAGTGACATAAGTCAGTTTCTTCTACTTTCAGGGTTATAGAAAAATAATATTAGACTTATCTCATTTTAATGAGAAATTAAACTTCACGAAGGAGCTTAACTCTTAAGTTACTCCAATTTGTGAAATTATAAAATATATCATTTTACATTGTATGGCTTATCTAAGTTACGGCAGTTCGTAAAATTGTAGTTTTTGTTTTATCACTATACACACTGTGACGCATCTATCTTTTTAACTTCACCTTCAGCACGAATACAGCTTTTTCAGTTTAAAAAGGCAAAAACTTAAGTTAAAAGATATTTACCTCAAAGTTTTTAGTCCAGAGCCAAGAAAAATTACTACGAAAAAATATATGGATTTGAAGTCGCTGTGTGAATATCAAAGATTCTATTTAAATCTTCCTCATGAGTAATAGATGAAATACTAATTATTATTTTGTGTATCTTTAACAGATATTATATCATTATTATTTGGGTGAAGCTTGTGCTTGTGCTGTCATATTTAGCTTTTAAATGGAGTTAAAAAGTTTGAGATACTGCGTATACTTATTTCGCCATAATATTCACGGTTCCGCGTTTTGTAACCATTTTATCTTGTAATAAAGCTTTTTTTTAATGTCAAGTGTTATTTTTCATTATTTCAATATAACACGTATGTAACTAAGTCTTTATTCTATGAATTACGACCCTTCAATTTTACAAAATAACGTATCTGCTTTTTTTGGAAATTTTGGACACATAAAATGAAGAATGGGTTAATCGTTGCTCATTTTTGAAAAGCTTGTAAACATGAGCAGATATACCCACAAATTCTATTATGTAGTAATAATACCTGTTTGTCAGCAACAACTCAAATGTCGTGAAAATATTTAAAACGCTCTCGTGTAAAGTTGGGAGGTATTGAAATCGCGAAAAATTTAGAAAGTGAGATATCATGTTTTTTAGATATTATATGACCACCATGTCACTCATTGCAGTCGGTCTGTCAGTCTGTCTGTCCACTAATCCTTGGACCGCCTATAGCTTGGAATGTAAAGCTCTGATTTAAATGATATTTTCGCACATTATCACTACTATGTCAAGGACGAATAACCTTTGTTGATTTCGAAGGCCAGCGGCGGAGAAGCTAGGGGCAAAACCATGAATAAAATAAAAAACGCTCGAACATCGCTCTTCGACGTTCCAGAGTTTCCCTTTTGATGTTAGTATATTTATACGCTCCCAACCCCGGTAATTATTTATACCAAGCCATATTTCACATAGCATAGGTCTCCCCGTACTTTTGCCTAAAACTCTAAGCTCACTGCCCCGCGGTAGCACGGTGGGCGCTGCCGCGCAGATGTGGAAAGGGACAACGTTGCCAGATGGACAAAAACTACAAATAGATCAGAAGAAAATGGACTAATTGTATGGGCCTGTTTTACTAACTTGATCCGTTTAATTTCCCTATTGTACATGTTCGTAACTGACTTATTTGTCAGAGAATTTGAATTGCGCTGTAATCTCCTTCCTTTATGAACTGATTATGGTGTTGCATATGAAGTCAACCTACTTGACGACGTTTTTTGCTCCTCACACAATCTGAGAATAGATATTGTGGACTAGAAGAAGACTGATTTGAACACACGTGGTATCCGTCGTACGAAATTCGAAAGTACATACAGAACTTGATCCCCTCTAAAATGTAGCTAAGACAGAAGATAAAAGGAAATAAGAGCTCAAGAACTTCAAGGTTAACCATCTGCATAAGTTTCTTAGACCCTATGATGCGTTTGCCATCGAAATTCTGGAATGGTGTCTTAATTTGGTTCAAAAAGATGCTGCAGCCGGCAATACACATGTGACAGCACACGGAAGCTATGTTGAGTTCTTATTAGATTGACAGTATCGACCTAGTGAGGTGGACGGATACTTATAAGATTCCATGATCTTACGGTCAAGCTTGTATTACGTCGAGTGGTGGCAAGCCGAATGAAAAACCGCGAGCGTAACATCAAATTTGCTGAAATGGGTACCACTTGTGGTGCCATAGAAAACATCCGCCAACCAAACAGAGAATGGACAGGAGCGAGTCTTACTGTTAATTTTTGATTTAATATTGGGATATAACCATAGTCCAGCCGTCATGAATATTTTCAGCTTATGGCCTGGTGATATATCTCTGCTATAGGAGGTATGTTTAGGATGTATCTTGGCAATATTATCTACAATATGTAGACACATACACCTTCCAAAATTTCTTATCAGAAGGACTCCAGCATTAAGCAAGAATGACTGACGAAATTGTACGTAATTACTTACATTTAATTAAGGATTCCATAGTTTGGAGATCTGATAGCGTTATATAAGAATTGGTCGGAAATTTCAAGCCTAAGTAGTAAATATAATAATAATAACAATACTAATTAACATCTTTTTATTTGTAATAACATTACAGCGGGCGAGATTTAGATACTCTATCGGTTCTACCACCTAGCCCCTTTAACAAAACGACATGTTTATGTATTTGATGAATAATTTTAACAACGGTGTCAATGTTCACTTTACTAAATTGAAATTCGGACTTTGGACTTTGAGGTTACCTCAAATAACTGTTCCTAAAAGCCAAAATAAATTCCTCATTTACATTATGCGGATCTGACAGAATCATGAAAATTAAATATCTTTCTGAAATTGCACTTTGAAGGGTCTTGTAAAACTTTTCTATATACTAATTTGATAAATGGTTGAAGGTAAAAATATTTTCGTGCGTTGCGAGCTGTGTATGCAATTTAAGCAAAAGAATCATATCTACTAATCGTATTTTTCATTACTTATTATTGAAAATCCAGACCGTGTATCGGTCGTCGTGACATTTGTTCAATCTTCTTCAATGAGTGGTAATCTATTTTAGATTTACTTGTCTACCATGCAGCAAAATCTATTTGTTCACCAAAAAAAAATTAATTTTGCAAGGTTGTGCATGTAATTTCATTTTTATACTATCTATACGAATTTTTTTTAATATTCAGCGTATATTTTAACGGACTTTTCCAATTGTACAAATGAGGAAGACTGAGTCGATGCCTTTTGTGGAAAGCAAGAAAATTGTATTCGCATTTTCGTGCATATAACGCATACATTGAAAAGAAAACACATCAAGGATCCTGGTACTATTTTTAACATGACCTATTTAAGTAACCGCAGTACATGCAAAATCAACAGCATGTACACGTACGTAGTTTGTGCCTCAAATACGCATCTACATTTAAGGAAGCGTGGTACCGCTATGAAATGGCGGACGGTACTACTACTTCAACGACCTCCTTTTTCTCTCCCACAGCGCCGCCTCTGGCCGCGGTCGCTTACCTGCGAACTACCTGCTAGTACCCCACTTCTCCAAGAATGCCATCATCATCAACAATAATAAAGCAGTACTTTCTATTCATCCTACCTCGAATTAAGATTTTTAAGTTTACCATAAGTCGAATGCGGATCCCGAAACTAAAAATGGTACTGTGACGTGAAAATTGCAATTTTTAATCAGTTTATCGATGGTACTAGCGTAAAATAGTGCGCGAAGTGCATTAGATAAGTGTTGTAACCTAACGGTACCGCCTTTTAGATCGGTTGTACCTTGTGCGTAAGAATAGTGCCATCAGAAATGTGACATGGTTTTCCCCGGTTGTGAAACAGAGATAACACCATCAGAATCGTACACAAACTAGGTATTTATTCAATAATAAGCTGTAACGTAACCATTGAATTCATACATCTTCTATATCAGAGTAAAGCTTTATTTTAAAACATAGTGACCTGAAAAACACTGTAAATCGGTAAAAGGTCGATGTAATGATATATTGAAACCTTACCTTCACCGGTTATCAAGCAAAACACCAATGCAAAGAGCTTTGATAGTTGTCTCAAACTGAGAGCATATTTGTGGCAGCTTTTCAATAGTGGTTACAACTCAATTTTTTAGGTTTAACGACAAAACTGTTTATTGCGACAGTTATTCTAAAAATGTGACACTTTTGGAAGCTCTTCCAATAGTATCACATCAGTCACCTAAAAAATCAGCTTATACATTTGAAAGGTTTTTTCCATAAACAAGGATGGTTCAAAAAATGCATAGAATCTCATATTTTTTAAGCTTTTTCAATAGGGATGTGTAAAAATTGATGGATTGCCATAATTTTGTCACATCGACGTCTCAAAGATATTCTAAAGCCTTTTCAATAGTATGACATCAACGATTTTTAAAAAATTTGTTGAAAGTTGTAATTTCAAAAGCTGTTTTGATAGTGTCACATTTAGAATGTTTTAAAAATTTTTAAAATGCCAGATTTTCAAAGGCTTTTCTAATAGTACCACAAGAACAATTTCTCAAACGACTGTTAGCTTTTTCAAAACTGGCGCATTATCAAGGATATCTCTCTATAATTTTCTCTTAAAGCTTGATGCTAGAACTGTTTTTTGTATGTTTAGTGTGATATTTCTCAGTGCTTTTCCAAAGTCTTCCCAATAATAATGTCACATCGGAAATGACCCGCATCATGTTATTTCTTCTCAATCTCAATGCAAAATTGGTTGCTTTCTAGTGTACGGTGACTTTTCTGGTTGAATACATTTGTTTGGCGTTCTGACCTTTGAATCAGTGATCTAATATATGTAGATCGGTAAAATGTTGACTCCCTGATCTGTTAAATCCTTTACGGTGGTTGGACAAAATCAGCCATAGTTCTACGTCTCATGCTGCACATTAAGTGAGCACGTTTTTAAAGATTCCCCTACAGTGTCACAACAAGGATGTCTCATATACTTCTGCTCTATTTCTCCTTAGTGCTTAATATGCTAAAACTGTAATATCTTTTCGGATAACGGGCACTTTTGCTCGATTGAATAGAATTATTCGACATTCTTATTTTTGCCAGCATGTTATTACTTTTGGTGTTGTTTTCTTGCTGCTTTTACAATGCTTTCACCTGAATGATTATAAAAAGAATTCATAGAACGTCATTCTGAAAACTCTTTAATGTGAGCTTCAGTCAATTTTTCAGTTTGTTGCGGTTCTTTGACATTCCCGCTTTCATCACTCACAACGTCGACTCAGAAAGATCAATGCTCAAATAAATTGTCAACAAATCGATATCTACACTTTTAGTTCTCAATCCGAAAACTGTCCTTATTGTTCAATGAACACATTTCATAGAGTGTCGTGTTAAATGCATATTTGTAAACGTTTTTCCCAAGCTTTTTAAGCAGTTCATTCAAGGATGTCGCACGTCCGTCTTATGCAATTTCTGTTGAATCCTAGAACTGTTCTTTTCGATCACATAGCGGTCACTTTTTACAGCTAAATACAGTTCTTCGTCTTTCGTAATTTCCAAAGCGTGATATCAGTGTCAATACGCTTACAAAACCCTTATTGATTGCACAAATCATCATTACTCTTTGATAGATGATTCACCCAACCTACTATGTATTGTTCCACTACCAAATAGGCTCACTGGTTTCAGGAATATTTGATAGTACTGTACTGAAGACGATTTCGTATTAATATTATTTGCAAATAGACTCTGATCAATCGAAAAGCCTGATACTCTTTGGTTCTACCTTTTCTGAATGTCTAGAAAATTTGCTTATATGGATAAAGAACTTATCCTTCAGATTTTATCAATTGATGCCAAATGTTAAAAGCTGTAAGAGATGAAATTATATTGTACAATAAGGTTTATAAATACAACTGCCCTTTTGAAACGTAGGGTTTTAGACCATAGACGTCCTAGTGTCAGGCTTTAAGTGTCCTTTGCGAAGGTACCGTCAGAAGTACCACAATAGTGTCATGTTGTTATTCCTTCTATAAACGATCGTCACGAACAAGAACGTAATGAATACTTATATTTTAAGCGACCCTCGTAGATCATACTTTATCGGTTTTTAATTAAACCCTAATAACTTTCAAGATAATGGTATTATTTATGACCTGACCTGTCTAAAATAAAACCTTCAACAGGATAAAGTTGTTAACATGATTACATTCTATGCAAGACTAGCCATTTTAGATAAAATATTTTAGATTCCCATAGATTTTTCAGCAATAGTTTGCCCTTCTATTCTGAAAACCAGTAGTTCGTGTATAAAATTCTATGTTTACGAAATATCGAGTAACAGCGTGCACAAGAACAAAGACTGTTACAATCCCAACTTCCGATTTTTAACCTCTACAATTTTTGTATGTGTCAGGGACCTCTGAAACGTTTATAATCGAAGTTTGGGCGATTTTTATTTTTTCATTTTTTGACCTTATCCGCGTCGCAACCGGAACAATTTTCAAAAACTAAAAAGCTCTTTTGTCCTTGGAATAGCAATAACCTTGTCTGAAAATGTCATCAAAATCCGGGTAGTTTTTTCCAATAGACATGTCAAGGATTAGCGGACAGACCGACGGAAATAACTGGCATAGTTTTTCTGGATGTTGATGTTATATAACATCTGAAAACAATATCTTGTATTCAAAATTTTTTTCGCTATTACAATATGTACTTGCTTAAAAACGGGTGACATTAACTTTGTTGATTATGATCATTGACCTTATATTTTTATAAATTATTATTGAAAATTGTTACTAAAGAAAATTTCAAAATCCATAACCAGGATTTGGAAATCAGGTGTCACAGCCGCACAGGTATCATATAAAAAACCTATAAAACGTCAAAGAAAACCTACAAGATGTCAACTTGCAGACTAGGTAGCTTTTAGGGCGCAAACAGTCATTCCACGTTTGCTCACTAGGATCGTTGTGAACGTCCATCTATGGAGGAATCACTCAACTAAACTACGCATTATTGGTTGCATAGTTTTGTGAGGCTGAGTGATCCGGGTCTGTAGTTTTTATCTCTGAGAAGAAAGTTGCAAGATCCCATCTGGATGATTATGTGTATTGGTCTGCATGTGTATAAAGTCAGTGATATTTGCTGTGTGAGAAAATCATTACTGAATATGCCGAATACGACGGGTTATTTAAATGTTGTGCTTTCTGAAGAGAGGTTATGTTCAAAGTTATAAACTACGAAAAACTGAGGAGAATTACGAGAAATCATCACCGCGCCCGCGTTGTGTGTATATAATTATTGTTATCATGTATATGGCTTGTAATTCGACAGTGTACAGTGAATATAATTATTTCTTATCTCTCTCATTTTTTAAATTCAGCAAATTTGTATATGTAATTTCCATAATGGATAAGAAAAAGTGGATGCGCAACTAATTTCTAGCTTTGAATCTCAATTATGTGTATTTGAGACAAGAACCCGATGTAATTATCATCAACACATACAACTTACAGCTTAGACCTCCATTAATGCCATCTCAGAAGCAGATTTTACATCACATCAAAGCCAAAGATTGATAACAAGCCTCATGACGTTTAGGCAACACGTACAACTAAGTGCTAAGTTAACATCTTGTAAAATAACCTACATAATGTCAAAAAAACCAGCATAATGTCAAAAAAATCGGCTTAATGTCACTTTTCAAGATACGTGATACCCGTACCGAACCAGTATATCAAATTCATTATCAATGTGCAGTCAATCAAAACAAACTTCAGCAAGCTAGGGCTTAAATCCAGCGCGCTGATTGGCCGTTTGTCACGAATTGCCGTAATGGCATGCTCCCGGTGATAAAAAGCATAGGTCTGGACCCAGCTCAGCACAAACAGACCAACTACACACTACACACTTGCGCACAATTTGGGCAAACATCTTTGTTCTCTGGAGGGAAACATTACTTGCAAAGATCGACATCGCGCACTGAAGCACTGAATACGGCTCTGGTTAGTGTGGCCCAGCCTGATATTATTTACATCTACTGCGGTAGAGAGAGATACATCTCAAAAATGAATTTGGTATGGTGGTAAGATTTGATTCAGAAGGATACACAATGTATTTAAAAAGGATACATAGTTTTTAAAGCTTAGCAACAAAACTTGCAGGCGTACAATACTTTCTCCACTCCCTCCCTCTCATTTTATTTCGACAGGCATCAATAGCCATTCTAGAAAGACTTGGTTTCCTATTGATAGCTTTCCCATTTTCCCTTTCGAACTGCAAATTTTCAAAAGAATACTGAATAATAGATATCTACTGAGAGGACTTCTAAATGAACAAATTTCGAGGGAAAGACGAACAGGAGATCTTGGCGCTTAAGAAAATATACAGATATAATGGCTTACGTGAGGGCTTACTTGCAAATATCTAAAAAGAATAATGAACATTGCAGCATTACGCTAAAACTGTTTCCACCACCAACATACATAATCGAGGACAAACAAGTAACATAAAAGTTATCAAAAAAATATAAAAAGGTCGTGTACTTTTCAAATTATAGGCTTTTGAAAAAATAGGAAAACCTACACCCCGTGATGATCTTTTACTACTTCCAGTTACTACTTACAAATGTCATTTTTTCTAAATTTTATTTTCATTAGGAAATCCTGAACAATGCTGCTGTAAATTGTTGCCTAAAATTGAACGCCAGCTGCTTCAGCTTGGAAGAAAATGACACGTTTACTGCCTGGCTCACACTTTGTAACATAAATCTCTCTTTGTCACTCAAGCTAGAATCTTGAAGCTACAGCTCCGAGGAAAGCTTGGGTACACTAGAATCATTTTGAGTAATTAAGAAAAAAATGTTGAAAACTGAGATTCTTTACAAACATTAAAATTGTCCATAATTCAAGAAATCATCTAGCAAGTGTGATAACATTTTGGAATCCTTATTAAATATGTTAACTTTTGAAATTACTTGTCAGTCTAGCGTATTAGATTTTTTTTTTCAGTATAGTCAGTCAAAATTGAGAAAAGCGGTAAACATGAATACAGGGTGTAGATTTTTACGATTTTGAACGCAGCACACAGTTCGGTGGACACACAGTGAACATTCGGTGGATTAAAATCAAGAACTTTGTAATGTAATGCTCGACGTGAGCATTACATTACAACGTTCGGCTTCAGTCAGTCGCCGAATTAACTCGAGATGCGTGTGTGCTCCAGTACGGCTTGATAGATACGTAAAATACTTGGCACTGATGGAGTTTGGGGAATACAATGCGAATGAGTCCAGGGGCCCCCTTTAGCGGAGGGTTCCTCTATGCTTATAAAGGTCAAAATCAGAGAGGCGAGCATTATGCTTCTGACAAGGTTTTTCCTAATAAAATAACATGATATTACTACATTAATTATTTCAAAATGTAGGTACTGTGCATAATTACCAGGAATTTAGCGGATATATTTTTTATAATGATGTTTTACTTGATTTTAAACGAAAACATGCCGAAGTAGTCATTTCGGGAACGCGTCCTTATACCATATTTCATAGTTCATACAAGTCAAAAATGATTACAATTACGAACTAAAACTGTCATATTTTTATATTAGCTTTGAACATCATTAAATTAAGAGTATATCTATAAATTAAATTCATATCATTTTAATTTCTTCATATTTTGGCTATTCAAATGCTGTCTGACATTTATCAAATCATTCCGTGAACGCGGTTGGCGTTGGTCGATGTAATTAACAACAAACAATAGGTGGCGTTAGGGAGCAGCTACGTGAAGTTCATTATACAAAGAAAACGGCGTGGGTTGTGTTTATGGAAAAAGGAATTAATTTTGTAAAGTTCTGTTTAATTTGATATGATGCGTGTGACGTACTTAAATTCCCTTTCACTACGGGAACGCTGTTTGAGGATTAGTTTTTCGGAAATTTGCATATTTTTTCCAAAATAATGATAAATACTACAATTTACTTGTTCATAACCGCCAAAGCCAATATCTAAAATAGCGGCGTCAAGCGTGACATTAAATTATTCATCGAATAGTCATTTTGGGAACGGTCATTTCGGGAACATTCTCGTCTATCACGGGCGTTCCCAAAATGACTGCCTATGAACAAAATGGTACTCTAATTTATTTAAAATGCATACCTATACGAAATTTGGATTTTAGGTATCTATTTAATACAAGTAACATGCAAAACAATAAAAATGAGGAGAAAAATAATTCGAAAAAACGATTAAAACAGGATAGTATTGCTTATAAAAGGCATCGTGAAAATGCTAATGCAAGGAAACGCAAGTTGTTAGATAACATGACACCTAAACAAAAGGAGATGAAAAAAAAGAAGGCTGAGAAGAAACTTAAGACTGGTAGTGAAGAAGAACTTGAAGGCAAAAAGAGAACTGAAAGTTAATTTTAAAGAAACTGATATAATGATTCAAATTGATTTCGCTGAAAATTATATGTCAAAAGATGGAAAAGAAATTCAATCAATTAGATTCGGAACTTCAAAAACGATACGTCTCTATAAACTGTTTCATTTGCCACTGTGAGTAATAATTAAGTCCCCGAAATCAGCGTTAAAGAAAATATCAAGTACCAGGCCTCACGTACATACCCTTCACGTGTTTTCAGACGGACCTACATCAGAGTATCGAAACCGCAGTAATATTTACTTATAGATTAAAACCTTAATAGAGCAGTTTCCGCAAATAATAGCTCCAACGTGGAGATTCTGTGAATCAGGTGGCCAATGTGGGCCAAATTCAACTATTTTACTCCATGATGTCACGGACGAGGAAATAGTTGCGGTCTCTCTCTCTCTCTGTCTCTCTCTCTCTCTCTCTGTGTGTGTCTCTCTCTCTCTCTCTGTGTCTCTCTCTCTCTCTCTCTCTCATGAGAATCTCCAAACGGTTTCAGATCGGCTTCATGAAAAGAATGACGATATGGATGCTGCTACGTCGTACGGACTTGCATCCAAACTTATACACCCAAAGACGTATTTAAAAACTAATGTGGTTACAGTTAATAATCCTGATTCTTTTTATATTAATTTTACATCTTTTTTTTGGAATTACCGAAGTTCTAACTTTGAAACTCAAGTTACTTTGTAATATTATGCAATTATGAATGTAGTAATAATGTTTCTAATATCTATTTATTTTAAAGCTATTACATTTTAAGTTTGAATTTTGATACTCACGTTCCTCATCCTTCAGTACAAATAAAGGTATAATACTAAAACGTTTATTTCATTTTAATGCATAAAATATGTCAAAAACTAGGTGTGGCGTTCACTCAAAGAACGTCAACGTCATTTAGAGAACTTCATTATCATTTCGGAAACATCCCCATCATTTTCGGGAACGTCACAAAAACGGCAACTAAATCACTAATACGTAATGTTATAGTTGAATTTTACATATACCAGATGAGATGACCTTTGGTATTTATATTATTACTATACCACGTAGTGCTAAAATGTATAAAATAAATTGAAGTTTTCGAGCGTCATTTACACCAAATGAAGATTTATGGACAGTAATTTGAAAAATAAGTGTTTTGATTATCAAAAAATAAAAAAGAACATTTTCCGATTTAGGGTCAGGTTTATTACAATTGGTTCAAGGTGATTCTTAAATAAGTTTGTTATATTATTATTTAGACTTCGTTTAAAAGTGTTCCCGAAATGACTCACGACACTGGGATAATCCTTATTAACGGGTAGAATTTCCAAAATATATATTTTTGTGCGTGCATCTTCATGGAAAATATTCCTGATAAATGACACAACAGACTCCCTTTGTTAGTTTTCTTCAAAAGGAAACTTAATTTCTCAGATATTTGAAAACCTAAATTGCTCACCTCTCTGATTTTGACCCATAAAGTCGTTTTCTCTTAGGGAAGCTACCGTCCTATGGTATAATTTACATTTTCATCCACCTTTTTTAACGCGGATGTTCCAACTTTTTTTGTTACACACCTCTTCTCTAATATAATATACTAAGTGACAAAAAAAGGTAAACACCTACGTATTTTTATCTGATTTCAATAATTTTTCTGCATACATTATATATGTTCAGTGTCCCTTACTGGTAAAATGATTAAATTTTCAGCTTGATTCGTCAACTGACTGCAGAAGCTGGTTCAATGATGTGTTGAGGATCCAGGATTTCTTATACACTCATTGACAGGCTTACGCATCGTGCTGATAAGGTGGTCGATATCCTGTTGGTCAGGCGGTCGTGGTGGCCAAGGTAAACGATCGATGCGATGTTGGCGATAAGAAAAAAGACCAAAGTGTCGTATTAGGCGATATACTGTACGCATACTAACCATCCTTTCATGCTCTTCAAACCGCTGATAAGCGATGGCTCGAGTACTACTGAATCTGTCTCTCAGAGCAAGAAACCTTAACTGGCGGTCTTGTCCCTCTGTGGCCCCTCTGGAACGTCCAGAACTCCTCGCTTGTTGTCTTCGGCCTTCCTGAGTTCACGCTCATTCATAATGCATAAGGAGCTGTTGGTTCTCCTAGAAACTTATCGATAGACCGCCTTCACGCTACCCGATATCCCGACCCTTCTCAAAGTCACTTAGATGAGCCACCCGGAAAATTCTACGCACTCACAATCACAAAAAGGCTTCTCAATAAGCTACACGAAATTTTGACATTCAACTCACACCGTAAATGTACGAAAGCTGAATGCTTCTTTATCACCAAACAATACATGCAGCCTCCACAAAAACTTAACAGAAAAACCTGACCATTTTATCACTGTTCATGGCAAGATAAATCGATATGTAAAAAATTCTTGAATTCTAATAAACATACGTAGATATTCACCTTTTTGTTGTCACTCAGTATAGATCCTATCCGCAGTCTCGCGGGTGGCAGCGCTTTACATAGAGGCATTCATCATTTCTAACAAAAGCTAATCCTGTCTTGGGGCGCAAGAATACAGTATTTGTATATGATACTTGGACTCGGTACTACACTAATATGGATACCTAGAGAGTTAAACTTACCATACCTAGATATATTTTGACATGAACTCAAGGACTGGCTTGTAAAACCAACGGTTTGCTTCTAGAGTACTAAACATCGGATATGGAACAATCACTCGGAAATTACTTTCTCATGATCTTCCCGACATTCAAGGGTCTGCCTTTAGCAACTCAAATATAAAACGAAATGTCATTCATAAGTGCCACGTATCTAGTGTATTTCACAAACTCATCAATCTACTTTTATTTCAGATACACAGTTTTCCTGAGTCAACCAACTAACGCTAGGAAACCTTTTTAATTTTAATACCAATATCGGGGACGTTATGATGATCAGAATTAATGATGATCGATAGAAAAACACTGAAGAATAAGTAGATCTAACGAAAAGTTCGAAAACGTTATCTTGAAAGATAAAAACCCAACAGCCGCATTTTCGATATGAGACTCAAAATATGTCTGTCGATCACTTGAGGCACTGTCACATTATACTTTAAAAGTTTTTGTGAGAAGAAGGCGCACAAATCTAAAATAAAATCAGAAAGACCCACATGATTCAGCATAAAGAAACATAGATACCACAATGAAAAGGATACAGATGAACAGCATCTTGAGCGCGTTAGTGATAGTTGTAACAGTGACAACTGCATATAGCGAGAACACTATATTGACAGTGGAAGGGATAAGTGCAAAAAATGACGTAGATGGAACAAAAACATGTGAGTTTGGTCTTACGAAAGAAGGGAAATGTAACGCAACAACTATTGATCAAACCAATGATGTTAAAAAAGGTTTGGAAGATAAAAAAATTGGTAAGTCTAATGAGCTATTTTAACTATGGTAGTATTTTCAAAATTTTCAAAGTGTTCATCCAAAAAGCATACTCTGAATGGTTTCATTTTTTGTAGTTGTAAAGTAAAAGTTCTAATTTTTATCGAAATAAGACAGCGCAAAACGCCATTCATTATCAGAATCGACCACATCGAGAGTGTATAGAACCTATCGGTTGGAACTGTAAAGATCTCAGATCGCATTTGGTAGCCCAGTCACCACTGTGACCATTAGAAGGCTGAATATTCTAGCGGTATAGTAAATGCAGTCTACTCGGCATCAAACAACTAAACACGCTACTTTCATCCATCGCACAGTGGTTCAGAGGGCACTATTTCCGCGAAAATAGTAACCAAGTATACATATTATATTACTCTTTACTTTTCCTGCTAAAATATTTCTTCAAACCCAAAATTACCTATTTGCAACATTTTCTTTTCTCTTAAAATACTTAAAATACTTTTTATCAATTTTCATCATAAATTTTGCTAAAATGTAGGCGTACCCTATGACCTAAATGTAATCACAGAAGACTCTGACCTATTAAGTTCAATTTGACGCTTGGAAAAACAACTGAATTTGAAAAGAATGTTGACAGTCGCTTTGCGCTGTCGTGGCATATTATTTAGTTTATCTGTGCAATTTTTTCCGAAGTTTGACACTAATGGGTTCCGATAAAAAAGTGCAGGTATTTCCATGTTTCAAAAAGAAGTTTAAAATGTGCATTTGTCATACCTCAACACATAAAGAAAAAACTAGCTGCAAATAATTGCAATTTTTGTAAAAAAGTTTAGTGCGCGACAGAAACCAATCAAAATAAAAATATAGACTTATTGAACAGAACCAAAAACAGAGTTCAACTGTTAAAATCGCTTAAGTCATATTTTTTAGACCACAAAAACATTAATGTAGAAACATTAGATAAAGATATGACGGATTTTATAAAAAATGTGGAAATTCGATGGAAACCTTGTTAAAGAGATAAGAAGTTTTTTATAAAGAAAAATGAGGCTTGGTTGAACCAAGAATTTCCGCCTTCCGAGAAAACCGTTGTTACTTCAGAGCAAGAATCAACAAGAAGTTTTGGAAGGCCAGTGAAGAATTTTCAGAGCCTTGGTAAAAGGGTTAAACAATTTAGAATTCGTTCGTTAGTTTCTAGCGCAATAACATTTTAATTTATTTAATTACACTTTAAACGTTTATTTACTATTCATTTTCACTTTTGATAGGTCAAGTTTTGATTCGTAAAAATTAATCTTAGACTGTTTCTGCAAAAATTATATTGCATTTAAACCTGATCTTGTGATGCTTTTTTAATATATCAATTTTATTCATATTATTTTACCAGAAGGTCCCAGAAGTTCGCTGTCAAGTTAAAATTAATAGTTATAGCGTACGTAGCGTCGTCTAGATACTGCATAGAAATTAAACGTTTTTTTTCTATAAAGATGCAGTGCAAATGATTAATTCACGAGATACAGGGTCTTAATTTTTTTTAAAATATCGTTTCTTCGTCATAAGTTTTGTGAGACTACAGCTATTTTTAATATATTTGATTCACATCTTTATTATAGGAAAAAAACTGTGCATTTTGACGGGATCTATCACATACTCAGTTTTTGTAAAGCTCGGAGCATTTTGATTTAGGATCCCCACAGCCTGCACTGATGCAGAAATTTGCAAATTTCTCGAAAACTGCTCACCATACCCTATTTCAACAGGAGTGACTTTTTAGCTTAAACATGTCGAGGAAATTGTTTTTTTTAACAAAAAAGTAAAAAACCACACTTAGAAAAAGGTATGGGCATTTAAAGCAATCCGAAGTGCAGTGTGAAGCGCCCCCTAACGGCCACAATGAAAAAAATTCCATATTTATGTTTTGCATCCCAAAAAACCCACGGATAGCAATTTTTGAAATGTTACGTTAAGATATTTTCATGAATTAAAAAAACGATTGTTCTTTTCTAAATTTACCACCCTGTATCTCGGAATCGGAGCAATTTTGGACTACGGTAAGTTAAATACTTCAAATCGGCTTATTTTGAACTCAAGAATATGTGCCTACATTTTGTAAAACCTTTTAGGGTATACCTTCAATTTTTGACATTTGTCAATTTTTGATACAATTTTTCAGAGAATTTCTTTAGCTTTCTAATGAGTTACGGCTTATAAACATCGGATTACCAGTAACAAAATAAGAAATCTTGATACTTTCTTCGCGGAAATGGTACCCTCTGAACCGCTGTCCATCGGACCAAACACAACCAACCATGGATAGCTGTGTGGTGCTTTTTGGCAACTCATCAGCATGATCTAAACTTGGTCTTTGAGACAACTAACGAAAGCATAGCAATTATCATCTACCCAAGGTATGAGATCTGTCGAAATAAGACATCGCAAGTCATCTATTACCAGAATCGGCCATTGCGGTGGCCGCTAGATGGATTACGATTCTGGCGGTAATCTACCTTGTAGATGTGATCTGCTCATCATTTAACAATAATTAAACATGATGGTTTCGTCCGTACGGCCAAAGACGTAATAGGTTTTGCCATGCTGTGTCCTTAGAATGTGATCTTATGTCTGTTACTGAAATTTTGAATGTTTTATCGCTGTCTGAATTCGTACTCGCTGAATCTTCTTTAGGGAGGCAAAAATCAGGTTCGTTTTTGCTTTCCTGAAGGAGAGAAAAACTGGATGAAATATAGAGAGGTGTTAATGTACGAATCTCAAACACTTTTTCCCACCACAATGAAAAAGACGAGGATATCCACAATAATGGATGTAAACAGTCTATTTTAGCTATAAAGGATGCAATTGTCTCTGAAGAGAATATGCCATTATATCTAATATAATACAAAATGGTAATGAAGGTACTCAAATATCGGTATAAACACTCCATATGCTTCAGAAAGCACAAAGCCGAAATGAATATTAGTCCATGTTAGCAGAGTAAACTAATATTTTGAATATTCGCGTTTAATGATATTTATATTCATATTTATTGTTATTCAGACCACAAGCAAGGCAAAGCCTTGAATTTCTCAACGCATATCAACTCGGATGACCACAACATTATATACACGACAACCTCAGAGAAAAATAGTTTGGCCCACCACAATATCGAAGATATCGATTTGAGTGACGTCAGCATAGATGAAGATGATGCTAATGAAGATACTGAAGCTTTTCATTCAAAAATCTTGGCTCCCAAAACGGCTTTTAGTAATGGATCCACACATCTGATAAGAGGTAAGAAGCAAAAAATAAAAAATAGAGATGCACCGAGTACCCGGTTTCTCCTAGTATTAATCTATTCGGCCGACTGATTACAAGACATTATGTGTAAAAAAAAGAATTTCTGATGCAATGTGAAAAGCTTCAGCATATGTGCCGTTTACCACACCTTACTGATTTTTTTTTTCCAAAAAATTAACACACTATCGAAAATAGCCAAGATTTAAATACTTAAAAGTCGTCCAAGTCTCACAACTCTTCTTTGTGCCGATTTCTTGAAAAATTAGATCAATTCGGAGAATAAAGAGCCCTGTCGAAAACTTGGATATTATCTTAATATTACTGATAGTCACAGCTAATCCAGCGCCAATCACTTTACCGAGCATCCAGCCGAGTACCCTGTACACGGCCTTTGAAAAAAAGTAGCACTCGGTGCAGCCCTAAAAACAGAATGTCAAAAATATCCCGATTTCTTAAACTCTACAAACATTTTTCGTGCTTGAAATTACAGTAATCTTGTACTTTTCGAGTTTTAGAGGAAATAATTACCAGGCGACAGACAAAAAGCCCAACGGAATCTAGTGACATGGTGTTTCGTGATACATTATCTCGATTTTTTTTTCGTAAAGTAAAACATCAAATAGGCCGACACACGCGATACTGTCTGTTTATAAATTAGGTTTTCTTCTGTTGAAGCCCTAAGGGATTGAATACTACCTATGTGATTATAATTTTACTTCAGGTTTAGTAATAGTAGCTAAAACAGAAACCAGTTAAATTAAATTTTATTGCGATAGGTATATGTGAAAAGGGAGGATTGACCTACGAAAATGGAGAAAAATTGGAAATAGGCTGCGACTCGATCTGCACATGTGAACATGGGAAAATGGACTGCAAGGATCGTTGTACAAAACCTTATGTGAGAAAAGGAACAAAAAAGTATCTTGATAGCTTTTGTTCCGTTAAAGATGTTGAGGATCAATGTTGTCAGATATTGATTTGTGCGGATACAGGTAAATACAGGAAAAGTTAATTTCTCGGCGAATACAATCTAGTTTGATTAGAGGGATGGTAACCAGATTCAAACCTGTTATAAACAATTTTTTGAATTGTTTATTTTTCTAGCTCCGATTCAACGTTTTCCATTTTTTTTTTAATGTTCGAGTTATACTCGATTCTACAAATCCTAAAAAGCTCTTTTTAAAACCTTAGAATACGGTTCGAAATTATTATCTTTAAGGCAACATAGGTGTAAATTAAGTCCAAGCCCTTCATTATAAGAATTCGAATAAATATTTTGGACTTCGTTTATTGGCGCATCATATTCAATTAAATAAAAGTATTTTAAAATAGACTGAGGCTGAAATACTGTCAGGGGCCTTGTGGGAGAAATTTAGATTCTTAGCAGTCTCAAAAATAATGATTTGAACTGAGGTTTTAGGCATTGAAAATAACCACTTCAAGCAGGGCTTTATATTAGAATTACTAAGGGCCTTTTATTAAAAAAATATTTGGAACGAACAAAATTTTTTTTGTAATCTAAAAGTTCTCGTCCCCTAAATTTATATATGAGTTCGGATCCCGCCAGCGCCCATTTTCCCTATATCTCAAGTTTTTATTTACAAACATTGATCAGCATGCAATTTTCAATCGATCGCCGACTATATTATGAGTGCCAATGTCCATCAACCATCTTCTTTCTATCCTTGTTCATATGTATGTTTTGTAGGAAACATAAACTATTCTTTTTCTTTCAGAGACAGAACCCTTGGAGACCTGTTCTCACGGTAACACAACCTATAACAGAGGTGACACCATTAAAAAAGACTGTACTGAAGTATGTACTTGCACTGCTGGTGGAAAAGTTCATTGTAAGCAAAGGTGAGAAAAAATAGTACATCACTACCTACTCTCTGAGTCATTTCAGAAGTTGTGTATCGCTTTTGTGATATTGCACCCCTTTGGATATTCGCTCATAAGGATACCTCACGATTGAAGTTTACGTTAATGCTTCAAAAAATATCGCTAATTTAAAAAATATATACATCAAGAAGTAAGCAAAATTGTAACCATCATGCAAAACGCGATGAACAGATTTCAGTATGCAACAAAATGGACATCTAGATGACGGAATCTCAATAAAATTAAATCCGCATACCTGGTGCTTCATTTTCATTAGATCTTCTTCAGGGAAATTTGTCTTTGGAAATTCAATCCATAAATTGAACAAGGATCTTCGAATCGTTATTTCCTCGTTCCTTGTCGATATCGAGACGGTAAGGAACTGATTATGTTTCTGACTGTTTTCACATTACATCAACAATAATAGCCCAATAGGTGATTCTGGGGATTTACTCGAACGCGGTAGATTAACATGATGAGATTATCTTGAACTGTTTAGTACCTCCACCATATATATAAACCCTTCATACAGGTTATACGTCTAAGCATGGGGGCTCGCAGGGGGGGCGTTAGGGGGTTAGCGTGTCCCCTCCTGGGAATCCGGTAGGACCCTAAGACTTGAAGATTTACCACAATTTTGTGTACAATTTTGATGATTTTAGGATGTGCTTAACCTCCCCCCTTGAAAGGTTTGCTACCCCCCTCTCTTCAAACACTTTTGGGGGCAGGTACACTTTCCCAAAAAGTTCTCTTGTTATTGATAGGCTACTCCTGAGAAAAATTTCTGATTAGATGAGGTGGGTAAATTACATGCGGAAGAGTGTGTCTTTCAATAATTTGACGATTTGAGTGTACTTTCTGACTACTGATGAATAATAATACGATTGCATTTCAAGTTTTCGAAAAAAATGGAATTTATGACTTTGAGGTTAGAGTTGCGCCCCTAAGCGCCCACTTTAGTAAGATAAACCGATAGATCTAGGTTGAATGGTTGCCGAAAGAGAGAGAATGTCTATGTAACCATTTTTTTTCACATTTTTGGGCAACCTGTAGACTCCCGTACTACAAGAAAGTTACTTTACGGACATTTTAAATCGTAAACATTAACAAGTCAATCTACTTGACTTCACTTTATATAAGTTTCTTAATAAGTTTTCTGTGTTTAACAAAAACAATTGAAGTGACCCAGTTCATTATCTATACATATATGTATTACAGTCATTGTTTTTCTCAGTAAGTCGCAACTGCGAGAAAAAATCTTATTGTTTATTATTACTTCGTAAATTATTTATTCAAGCATGGTGGCATGGATATTTCAAGAAGTTTGTATCCGCTTAACTTCCACGGAAGGTATCAAGTAACTAAGTACTTTAACATTTCACTATATTTTTTAAGGTGTCCAGAGCAAGTTAAAACATCAGACAGATGTTTAGAATTAGAAGATCCCTCAGATTCTTGTTGCAAACGATTATTCTGCGATGTTGAAGGCAACGAAGAATCATTCAACACTAATGAAGGTAGCAACGGTGAGGAAGAAATGAAGTTGCATAAAAATAAGATGAAGATCATAAGCGCAAGATACCTTAATTCAAGCACGATACTTGTTAAGTTGGAAAACTTGGAGCAGAGCGATAAAGGGTAATGTAATTTAGTTTAATGAATGTTGCTTCTAACTGCGCTTAGGCTAAATAAAGAGGGTTTTCCAAAGTATTTGTGGAATTTCTCAAGATTGTAATCTTAAGGATTACAAGAACTGTGATATTTTATGATATGGGTTCTATGAAAAACTATGCTTAAATATCGCATCCACAGTTTGGCTTCTTATTCGCTAAAGAATTTCTCAGTATTACTCTAGACAGCTTCTAAAGTGAGACTCTAGGGTTGCCAGACTATTTATTTTTTGAATGACAAATGTGGGACGTTGAATAGAGCTTATAGGTACTGTAAAATTCTGTCAAGAATCTCGGTGTTACTCTTGACAAGGGGGTAACTTGCCAGAAGCACATGGAAGCAGTAAAAACCAAATTTAAATTAGGTTTCGGCAACTCTACCATATGCTATGTAGAATCTCAAAATTAAGTTTGACCAACAAAGTTCGGCGATACATGATGGTTATTACTTATGCAAGTGCAGCATGGTGTTTCATCGCCAAAACGCTTATTCATAATCCGAAGGTTCTGCGGAACAGAACCTTGCATACTGTCACTAATGCCTCATGGTATGTCCCCAACTAGACCCTTCATGGAAACCTCGACATTCCTTACCTAAGGACTACATCAAACAACAGGCCCAGCTACGCTATAGTCAAGCGGAATCGCACAGAAACCCTCTGTTGTGTGAGTCAGTAGACTACTCAGTCGAGCAAGTTCATAAGCACACAATACCGCGGTTCGCACTGTGAACAGAATTAAATTATCCAATTAACTGTAGATCAATTTAAAATTACTGAACACTAGTTAACAATGTCAAGGCGACCCTCCAACAGACGCACTTCCTCCTCTTTGCTCTACCCCCTTCCTTCCTTTATTTCTTTTTCCCTTCTATCTCCCTGACTTTTTCTGGTATCTGGGCAATCAAACCTGACAGACCTACTGACCTAAAATACTTTAACCCCCCAGAGCAAAGGGTCCAACGGACCGCTCTGGCGGACAATGACGAATAGAGAGGATAGAGTACTGTGAACTCCTGCTAAGTCTCGTAGAGGGCCGACTTACTTACTTTTAGAATATAAGCTCTCATAGATGATTTTTATATACAGGGTGTTTCCTAACTGAACGTGAGTACTTAGTCTAAAGCGCGGTTTTCACCTAAAAAAAGTTAATCTATTTCTATGCATAGTGGTATTAACGATATTATTATGGTAAAAACAGTTTTTATTAACTTAAGTGGCAACCGTGGATCGGATGGAAAGAAATTAATCGATCAAATCATTATGAATTTCAAGAATAGGTAATTTATTTTAAGAGAAATCAGTGTGACGTACCTTGAATGTCTGCTAAAGTGGGCAGGTAAAATTTCGTATGAATACCACTGGTGAAAATGCTTCTTGACATATAGGACGTTTGGCAAATTTCATTAAAATGTCTAAAGTAGCATTACAGATATTAATAATAAATTATTTACCTGAAATGTTAAGGCGTTATATGAAACATTCTTCTTAAAATGGACCCTAAAATCGCCCCCTTAAACAATGACATTCAATTAGAAAACACCATGGATAATTTGTAAATCATTATTATAAAGTAATATTATGCACTGCTAGTCGCTTCACGCCTATCATTATTTCTGCCAGATGCTTTGAACAAGGTGTCTCCGTATAAACTGAACTCTCTTTAACTTGTTTGTATGTCGGTTTATAAAGGTTCATATAAAAATTATAAGGTCTAATATGAGGTGTTTCATGCTAGTTTTTTTTGTACAAAAGATGTCTCAGAGAAATCAACGAAGTCGAACAAAGTTGCATTTTTTCACACGATTCGATAGCACAAACTATACAAAAAAGACATTGCATGAATAAATGCATACTTATATTATTAGACTCTATAACTTAAAAAAACACGTTTTTCTCTGAACGCTCAGCTGCCTTATTAATACAAGTATCCATTCTGAGGAAGCGTTCGATTTTGCTGGTTCATATCACCAGGCGTATAAAGAGACCAATAGGACTGCTGTGACTTTGACTGAAAGCCCTTCCTCCAATACCAAACGGTTCTGTGTGATCTGTATGAACATTGATTTTGATTTTGATTTTATATTTATTTACTCATATTGTTTGTTATCTTTGTACATTGAGTGAATAAATATTATTATTATTATTATTATTATTATTATTATTATTATTATTATTATTATTATTATTATTATTAGGGAGTGTGTAAATATTTATGGACACACTGTACTACCAGCTGTAATAGTCATATTCTGGCAACAATTTTCAAACAGCCGCCGAAAATCGTTGCCAGATCATGCTCAATGTTTTCTAAAACCTCAGCTGACAGAACTGTCCGTTTTTAGTGAAGAAATCGGGGATATCAACCAAAATGGCCACGAAGAGGAGCATTTCCACACTGCAAAAGACAATATCATAATCGATGTCAGCGATGATAAGAAAGAGTGGATTAGTTATAGATTATCTCCAGGCGGTTACTTATTTGTAAAAAGCGCTGGGAAATATCTAAGGCTCGATGGAAGCGATGATACTGTCGAAATCGAGAACAATAGCTTGGGTATGTATAATATTTGATAATAGTCGTAATATCTAAAATGACATCGTTTCGGCTTCATTGATACTCGTTAGTGTGATGTACGACTCAGATGAATGACAATCTGATATTTTTGTGTAATCAGTATACTCAATGAGAGTTCATGGAGATGGTGCGTGTATCGCCATACACTATCAATGACTTTCACCACACATGAATCACTTGACTTAAATGTCAAATCCGGTTAACATTAACGTGTATGTATGCGGTATTTGTGATTGATAAAACTCTCTGATATCTACTAATATAATCGGTCATTTTTAGGAAATAAGTACTCAAAGGCAAATACAAAGGGCTGCAGTTACAAAGGGAAGAGTTTCAAATTTGGAGAGGAATACAATGATGAATGTACCTCCTTGTGCTTATGCCAAGAAACGGGTAATCATTTTTATTTTTCATGTCCAGGCACACTTTTACATCCCAAATGTGATGTCATCCATGCTTACAACACCGACTTCTCAAACTCCTCATCACACCTCACTTATGCCTCTATAGTTCGAGAAGCAGATGATACATAAACTTAAAACTATTATTCTTACTACTGTCTATATCTTTCTTTATTTAGGAATGAAGTGTATGAAACTTCAATGCCCCACATACTTTGGAATCGATGTACTGGACCCAAACTGTGTTCAGTGGGAAACAATCCCGAAGAACTTCGCAGCGAAACCGCCTGTTTGCTGCCCAGAGAGCATCAAATGCGTAAATAACGGATCATGCGAATACAAAGGACAGAATTTTAAGAATTGGGATGAATTACCTTCGAATGTCACTGGATGTGACAAACGGTAAGATTACTAAAATGAAATCTACTTTGAAAAGAGTGAGAGTGTTTGCTTCAGCGAATGTCGCACAGATGGCGCTAGTATCTTTCTGATCCCTTTCTGGATGCCGGAATACAGTATTTGATTTGTCATCTTCAGTTGAAATACGTTAATCAATGCTCTGTGAAGTACGCTCTTCCAGTCATGTGATGAGGCTCATGTCGTTGCTCTTGATATCACGAAAGGTTTTAATCAGCTGGATCATGTTGCCTTCTCATGCAATTTTACATCATATGGCCTCCCAGAGAAGCGGACTTCCTCTCTGGCCGCAACAAACCCATCGTAATTGAAGGGTCCATCATCCCACAATGTCATTGCGTTCCCTGAGGATCGGTCTTGGCTCCGATATTGTTTCTACTATGTGACATTAGAAGTGTTACACCCGGAAAAAATAATTACTATATGTATGCTGGATAAAAATTATATAGTGATTGAAAAATAAACATTTTGAGCATAGGAAACGAGCCTGATTGTTAGAATTCCCGTCAGATTTCGATAAAGCAAACTTTTAGGGCCTCAAAGGTACTAATGACAAGCCATTTTTCGGAGTATTTTGTCTTCTTCAATACAGAACTTCGTTACGGATCGACATAGGTACGATATTTTTCGGCAAAACAAAAGACCAAAGTCTCCTGACTAACCCGATATGCAACATCTTGACCGATCGCATTTTTTAAACTCGGTAGATTACAAAATTCCAAGTTATGCAGTTATATTTTGAGTCTCACAACTGCTACTCCTAATATGGTTTTATCCTGAGATTTGGGATTTCTGCTAGGCGGAATATTGTAAATTTGATAATATTACAAAAGCAAGCGCGTGCTAGCGGAACGTCCAAGATGTGCTATTTCCGGCTTTATGATGATCGCTTCATCCAATATTGGATCATGGCGAATAGCAGTGTCCTTTATTGGGCATGGAAATAAACATTTTTGAATAGATTCCAAATTTCTATATTCTAAATCTACCGGGCTATAACAACCAAGTACGATTCGCGCATGCGTGCGCGTTGCGAATGAACTGAATACGCTACAATCGTGCGTACCTAGACAGAATCGCGATTCATTGCGGAAGATGACAATATGTCATTCTGCCTCCCAATTTTGCCGTTCTCTGCTCTAGTTCAAATCTTAACGACAATGGTCCGCAGTCAGAGGAAGCACTTACCGTGGATGGTATGAAAAAAGTCCAAACGCTCAAATGCTGCGATAGAGTGAACGCATAGTAAAAGGAGTACCTTCTTCTCCAAACCAATGGTTAGCGATCTAACACGTAGTAGCAAAACGGTCTCATAAGGCTAGTTGTCTGAAGCACCTATCTTGACGCTCTGTGGTACGCCTCGGTGGACCAGTTAGCCTTCTTCGTGCTCCTCAACCTTCTTCTATCCACACACGACACCTACGCATTACCGTCATTGCAGTACAATTAACACAGCAGCCAATTTAGCAATAGGACAAAGCAACATCTCGAAAGGCAATAATTCTACTCCTGTCAAAGTCGCTAACATGGTGACAATTTGGACATCCTCGTACTCGAGGCATTTTGTTATGGTTAACACTATTAAATGAAAGGGCAATAACTAAAAATATCTGTACCACTCAGCCCTTAGAAACTGCTTTCTTCACAAAAAGTAAGAGATAACATTTTAACAAAGGTAATCAAAAACAAAGATAAAATGTTGGTATTGTCGCCACAACATGCTTTAAATATAGTCATTATGTTGCCAAAAAAACAATTTCAAGAAATTATTTTTTCTGGGTATAAAGTTTCTAATGTCAGCTGATGCTTTGCTGATGACAGCACTTTACATGCAGGGATTTACAGCGCCAAGCCGATATCTGCCGGTGAGCTGGAGAGAAGAAGATTAGCAGCAATTTATTTTCTGATGACAGGTCTGGCGGTTATATCTGCTTGGGGACGCAGCAATATGGTACAGCTTAATGCTTCCAAAACACAGTACTGTACCTTGACTAACGTAGCGCCTTACCGCTCATTTGGTTTCGATGGCGGGTCGAGTTCTACCCACAAGCCATTTTGAGTCGTCGGAGTCCAGATCCCTAAGGGCTAAGAAGTCCTCGTATGCTGCTCACATGCTCCGACTACATTTTCCATGCTTGATTCTGTTCAAAGGATATCTCTCAGACTGACCTAAGACGCTTCTCTTTATTAGTAGTCAAAGAAAAATAACTGCATTTCTAATGTTTGTTCTTTGGTGTTCTCCAGATGTTACTGCGAAATGGGCAAAGTAGAATGTCACGACATATGTCCTCCAGTAACAGCTCTTCCGCCACCAAGTCTGAACTGTCCTCCGCATCTTGCTACCATCAGTCATACCTCAGAAGATGAGTGCTGTAAGAAGTGGTCCTGCAACACTGACAATAGCATACAGGGTAAGTGGTGTTAAAATATAGGCAGATTTCCACATCCGTTCACTATATCAGAAATCCAGAGCCAAGCGAGAGATCTCATGTACCATCAGATATCCAGACGCCAATATATGCAACTGTGGTATTTTGCAAAATGAACATTTTAATGGAATATCAGTACTTTGCCAATACAACTCCTCCAAAATTTAAAAGTAAAATTTTGTGCCAAAAATGAATTCGCATTTTTTCATTTTATAAATGAAACTAATTATTACAGGAATGTCTTTAAATTTCATCATATTTATCAAACTTCAAAAACCTTAAAACTTTACTACAAAATTAGAAGATACGTTCAAATGTTTTAAGACAGTTGACGAATTACATATTTGAAATTACCAAAAACTAAGATAACATATAATAAAAACGTTAGGTCACAGCTTAAATAACAATCAGGTATAAAACTCTCCTGTCAGTGTAAAAACGGCCGCCATTTCGGCGGAGAAAGTCGAACGTAAATTCCCCCAGTACAAATATGAAAGTGTTTTTAGTGCTCAGCAACAGCCGGTACACATCGAAATACTATTATTTTAAGTTTGCGAAGAATATCTGCGGCCGCTGGCATGACACGAGGCAACACCGGATGCTACTGAGCACTTAAACCTCTGTCACCGTTATACTGGGGGAATTTACGTTCGACTTCTTCGCCGAAATAGTAATAATAATATCAGTACTTTATTTACACAGTACAATGTAGCACAGGTAAAAAGGCGAAGTGTCAGCGTAGCTGTTTTTCAACTTAACCCAGGTAAAAAACATCAAGATTAAACATTTGCACAAGTACACACCATATTAAAATGGCGGCCGTTTTTGACACTCAGGGCCGGTTTATCAAAGCACAGTTAAAAGTGCCTGTTAAGTAACCTCAAGTTAGGCTAAACTGGCAGTTATGTTATGAAGCGTGTTTATCAATCAATCAATAGCTGTCAGTTTTATAACTTTTGGTTTGCCTTCGTTTCTACAAGGTTGGTAGAACTGAACTGAGCGGAAATGAATTTTTATTCGTTGAATTTAAATTTCCCACAAAAAATGTCAGACAATGACAAATGACGCAAATGTCAAAAATTTAACCTATTCGATATATTTGTGTGAAAGTGTATCACTATCACGCAATGACGTCTTTGCTATCACGTATCTTGAAGTTTTCTTTATTCGTGTGGCATTGTTTTACGAAATTAGTACGGATTGTTTGGAAAAATGGAAAGCGAAGAAAACAGTGGAAAGGGAAAACAAAAAAGAGGAGCGAACTTCAGCCTCAGCGACCGCAAAAACTTGTTGAAACTGTCCAACAAATTTAAGGCAGTGATAGAAAATAAAAAAACGGATGGAGTTACTTGGAGACAGAAGGAAGAAGCGTGGATAAAAATTGAAAGAGAATTCAACTCATTTACAACTGGAGTGGTGAGTATATACATATACTTTTCAATTGCTATAGTATGTGATAAATTAATTGATTTCCAATATACAGTTTTGGCAACATTTCCCAACTCTGTTAAATAAGATATAAACTGTAGTGAAAAGAGTATGAATGCAATATTAGTTTTTGTTCCGTAATTGTTCATATATGAATAAATTTTTAGCCACGAACAGCAAAACAGCTAAAAACAAAGTATGAGGCCATTAAGAAGGAGCTGAAAAAAAATATAGCAGCCATAAGTGCTATATGCTTGGAACAGGTGGTGGTGCTTCAAAAGAAGAACCCAAACCTGAGACTGAAGAAGAGAAGGAACTATTACAAACTATCATAGTTTCTGTTGAGGGTCTTCAGTCTCGATATGATTCAGATGCCATAGCAGGAAAGTTCTGTTTTTTTATTTTTACCTTTGGATCATGCTTAATTTGATTTTGATTACAGGTGTAAGAGGAGTTGAAATTGAGGAGATTGAAAACAGCAGTGTGATAGTAGAAACGCATGAAGATATTGAGTGGAACACACCCAGTACTTCCTACCTTCAAACACACATTCATCCAGCTTTGAAAGTATCAAGGCCGAATGTGCTACAGGTGGACGTAAGTGGAGAAGATATGGAAGTAACCGACCATAATACTGACAGTATCAGTGTAGCAGAGACTCCCAGCTCTAAAAGTATCTGTGAAATATTTCTTATAAATATAGGTATATAGATATCTCATATTTATGTTACTATACAAAAATTTTATTTTAGAGCCATGGTCATGTCGGCGAAGACCAGTAATTAAGAAAAAGAAAAGCATGTCTTCTGCTTCTTCGAAATTTGAAGAACTGGCTATGAAGAAGTTAGAGCTGGTGAATTTGCAAATGTCGATTGCAGAAGAAATAAAAAAGCAAAATGCTGCAGAGCATAAAATAAAAATGGAAAACCTGAAACTGAAGCAAGACATTTTGAAAATGGAACTGCAGATTAGAACAAATGATAAATTATAAAATATGTGTAATATATATAAATATAACACATAATTTTGAAATTAAAGATTGCTATTTTTTATTTGTATTTAATTCATAAATAGTACAAGTAAAGAATTAATTTAAAAGCCCTGGAAAATATTCACTTAATAACAGTTCCCTGGCATTCATGAAGTTATTTTCAGGAGGATCAACACTGATATCTTCTTCATAATTGATTATGTTTTCATCCAAGTTTGGAATATCAGGGGGCTGCTCTTCATTTTGGTCAATTGCTATATTATGCAGCACAGCTGTGGCAACGATCACTGTAAGGGTTGTCTGTAATTTTAGTCTCAACCCTGTTGAGAGAACTGGAAATCGTCGTTTCCACAAACCGTATTGCCTTTCCACAGGATTTCTGGTTCTTGTAACTGAAAAAATAAATGAAAAACAAACTCATTAACTTTAATTCTCCTTGTATAGAAAAAATAATGCAGTGTAGTATCTGTACAATGAAAAAATATGGTTCATGCTTTTAGTGAATTAAATTATTTTATGAGTAAAATAAAAAACAGCTCCATATAATGTAATGATTATAAGAGATAGAAACATACCAGCTTCATTATAAAGTTGTTGGACTTGTGTTCTTGCTTCCAAAAGTGGTGTTATTACATGCATTGAATTTGCATAACCACTGTCTGCTACTAAAAGGCTATTGCCAAATTCATTTCTTTCCAATCTACTTTTTATTGATGAATTATCAAAAATTATCTGGTCATGTTGACTTCCAGGCCAGCGTGCAGTAATGTCTAATATTTTTAGATTGGGGGCTGAAATGGTTTGTACATTGATGGAGAAATAGCCTTTTCGATTGCGAAATAGTTCTGCATTATTTCCTCCTGTAAGGGTAAAGTTTTATAAGTACAAGTTCTATAGATACAAATAGATACCATACCAGGTGACTGAATTTTTATGTGTGTGCAGTCAAGGGATCCAATCACTCTAGGCACATGTGCTTTCTCATAAAAGCTACTTTTGGCTTTCCTTATTTCCTCATCATTACTTGGCATTTTTATAAATCTACCTGAGAAGGTAGCTATTGCCTCAGACACCTTCTTCACTATTTTTGAGGCAGAGCTCTTACTAACTTTGATGAAATCACCAACAGTTAGTAGGAAGTTTCCCGTAGCATAGAAGCGTAGAGTCAGTAATAACTGATTGATGGGTGAAATAGAATGATTTCTGAAATAAATATACAATTAATAGTTACCACAGGGAGTCATTTGTCATAGAATTGTTCATGATAAGTTAAATAAAATTCAATGAAATCCACATATCTATTTCCATATTGTTTAAATATTACAGAAAAAATATTCGCAGAAAATAAAAAGTACCTATAGGTATTAACATCAGCAGCGTTCTAAAAACGTGAAATAACCTACCTGTCGGTAACAGATTCGAGTTCTTCCTCGATGAGAGATAAAATATATAAAACCGTAATTTTTTTCAAGCGGAACCTCACAAAAAAATCTATGTCGTCCAATGAATGGAAGAAGTCTTCTCTTTCTCGTACAATATAGGGCCTCCTTTCATATTCTAAAAACTCTACTATTTCCGCATCATCATCATCATCGAACATAGCATCAATATCACCCAACATATTTCAAAGTTTTCACTTGATTTTCAAACAATAATTCTTTACAAAAACCTTGTTTTTGCTTACGTTTTGACACAGACTTTTTGAGGTTAAAATGACAAGAATGACATATCAAAACAAGAAGAAGTCTGCAATCTTCGCATGCTTCAGATCCTAACTGCTAGTTATCGCTCGTAACTGGAACATCCAAGTTGCGGTCAGGTTTCACACGGGTTTAACTGTTGGTTAATATTTAACTGCCGGTGGATAAACATTTTGACCGTCAGATTATTTTTAACTACTAGTTGATTTATTTAACCATGCATTGATAAACCGGCCCTGACAGGGGAGTTTCATAACTGATTGTTATCTAAGCTGTGGTTAGGCATTCAACAATATTGCAAATCGGAAGAGGTTTTTTGTCTCACCTACCGTTGATATCTCCAGGAAAAATACGCACTACAACACTATTTCTCCGAGATCCTTTTAAGAAGCAGTGATTTAGCAATAACAAATACGACATAAGTAAACGTTATCATTAACCTAATTTGAAATTAAGTCTTATTATGACTATATTGTACGATTAATGTCAAATAAAACTGAAGATAACATTTACGCATGCGGTATTCCGACTGACCTACTGACTTTTCTTAAAATAAAAAAATTAAATCTGTATTCATTTAAGAAAAAATGTGATCTCCTGATTTTTTCCATCCGACAAACGGCTTTCATCTAAAAAATATAAGCTATTTTATACTGTCATATTAACGATATCGTCTTAACCGTGGAGAATAATTTTTATTTTAAGAGATATCAGTGGCGTACCATCGATTACAGCTAAAATAAGCATTTGAAATTCCGTACGCATCAGAAGATGCCTCCTGATACATAGTAAATGTATAAAAAATTTCATTAAAATATAAAGTGGTATTACAGATATTAACAATAGAGGAAGTGGTCCGAATA